CTTCTTCCACTGGATGCTGAGCCTGGCCTTCTGAATCTGCATGTGGTGGTTGTGGGGCCCGCTGATGCGGCCTTCCATGCACTCCACCGTGGCTGATTTCCTCTCCGTCAGACAAATTCTGAACGAGGGATTGAATTGCATTGGGCCATCCACATGGGTGTTAAGGCAAGGCCCGTACACCCAACCAGTAATGCATAAGCCGTCCACCACTACATTCACTAGTGTTCTATAGTGTGCTCAGTCTCTAGGTGCCACAATCCCAAAATGTTTCTGTATGGGTGGAGCAGCTTCGCATAGACTTCTCGATAAGACATACCTATCATCTCCAGGTTCTGCAAGTTTTCACGAACGCCATACTCCTCCCGGCAGCGCTGTCTCCAGATGCTGTCGGTGTGCAGGATGCAGTGGAATTTGGTGCAGGCCTGGGTCAGGCTGGGCAGGTCGGTGCCAGGGAGCGAGGCGAAGATCTCCACCAGCATCTCCACCCGCAGGTCCTGCAGCGAGCAGCGCGGGGACTGCGGGGACATTATGGGGCTCGAGATTCCTCCACTCCCCGCACAGCACCTCGCTGCCTCGTCCACCTCAACGTGCGTTTCTGCAGGGGGGGCAGCTTGCTGTCAGCCGCTGCCATCTCAGCTGAGCCCTGGCATTGCTAACCACCCCGACATCCCAGCAAAGAGCAGAGGCAAGCCCACTCCTCCATGCCTTGAAGCATAAGAGCGACCACAGCTTGGGCTGCCAGCAACCAGGCTTTAAGCTGGCTGGGTCCTGCCCCAGAGTTGAGCCACGCCCCCCAGGGCCTAGCCACGCCCCCTAAGACAGGAGCCAATTGTAGGACTTTAGCAACACTTCAAAAGAAACCCATACCTATTAACAGTCGCCACCCTGTTCTCCAGCCCTAGCCCCAGGCAGTCACTAATCTGCATTCTGTATGGATATGCCTCCAGGGATATGCCCTTGGTGGGGAGGGGGGGGGCGGCATTTCACATAAATGCAGTCATAATATCTGGTCTTTTCTGACTGGCTTCTTTCACTTGGCATAACATTTTAAAGTTTTATGTATGCTATATTCTAGTGTATGGGTATACCACATTTTGTTTACCCATTCATCAGTTGATGAATATTTGGGTTGTTTCCAGTTTGAGGCTCTTATGAATAACGCTGCTAAGAACGTTGTGTACAAGTTTTTCGTGTAAACATGTTTCTATTTCTTTTGGGTATGTACCTAGAAGTGGAACTTCTGGGTCATCTGGTAACTCTATGCTTAGCATGTTGAGGAACTGCCAAAAACGTTTTCCAACGTGGCCCCACTATTTTACATTTCCACCAGCAATGTACGAGGGGTCCAATTTTTAAACATTCTCATGAATGCTTTCTTAAAAAATATATTATAGCCATCCTAGTGATGTTGGTGGTATTATATTATAGCTTAGAGCAGAGTTATTGACTGTAGGTTGACTTGACCTTGAACTCCATAAGGGAAATCTCTACTATGCTCAGCCTTCACCCAGCTTCTGCCAAATCTCCCAGGCCCCTGGTAGGAATGGGCTCCTACATGTGAGCAAGGATGGACTTGAGTTCTTCACTTTCAGTTGACCTCAGTTCTTCACTTACAAGTGACTAACCTTGCTAGTTCCTTGGGTGAATGGATGCCCTCAAAAAAAAAGTTCACAGGATCTGCTCACTGTGAACATAATTTTCCTATGGGCTGAGACTGGCCCTGCCCATTCAGACAGGCTTCCATTCTCATGTTGAGAGCAGTTAGATTCCTTCTCTCCACTTTTCTGGATTCCTACCAGC